GTATCACTCAATAGAAAGTTAATCCATATATAATGGCTACATATCCTCAAGTTCACATCCAAACTTATCTCCAAAAATCAACTCTTAAATAATTTCATTTCACCCACATTAAGCCTTCTTTGACTTACCCCTCTACCGGTAAAATTAGTTTTCCTAGTACTCTATTATCATCAGCTACCGCAGTTTAATTGCAATTTAATAATTTAATTTTCTAACCTCCAGTGTGAACTCTTTATATCCACAGCACCTAGCAAAGAGCCTGGCATATGATTTGTGCTCAGTAAACATTCACTTCATTGAATGAGAACAAGGTGCGCTTTTGCAGTACAGGAGAGAATAGTAAGAGGCAACTCTAGATAAAGTAAGGGACATAAAAAGAAAATAAATAATGGAAAAGAACAACGGCAGATTTTTCAGTGCCTTATTTAAACCCAATAGTGATATAATTATCTTTGGTAAATAGAATAGGACTGGCAGCTTGAAAGTAACTGCAGACCAGTTTTAGGCCATAATAATAAGGGACACATTAATAAGGTCAGGTAGTTCACATGAATGAGTCAGATGGAGCTGGTTAGGACTACAGACACCAGAACACATGCCATATCTACAAAGGAGATATCTACTTATCTCTCGTTTCCTGAAGCTAATTGCTCTACTGAAATGTGGACTAAATATTCTAGATTTCTTCTCATAGTGGAAAGCAATACGAAAAATCTCATGATTTTTGCATGGTTAGTTGATTGCAAATTTTAAAAACAATATCTGGTTTATACAAATTGTATCTGTGCATTTGATTGGTCCCAAAGACAGTTTGCCACTCCTTGATTCAACCAGGGCAAGAGCAACAATGAGGGACAGGCAGCGGTGAATTCCGAGAACTAAGAAGCAGACTGAAAATAATAACTCTCATACACTTACACACATACACAGAAATATACACTCATAGAAATAGTTATACAATATTTTGAATGCAATTGTTTATTTAAGCTGTGGCAAAATTTCCTATCTTGTTCTGTCTTTACCTACTCCCTAATTTGCCATGTGGTAAAAAAGAAGTCACCAAAAGTTTTCTTTCAAAAATTGTTAGTTCCTCTTTTTGTCTCATTTATGTAACATATATATGCTATTTCGTTGCAAAATTAACATCTACTCCTTGAATATCCAAAGATACATGAAGGAAATCCCTCGTCCTACCTGAAATTATTCCATAGAAACAGCCACAAGTTAACAGCTTGACTTATATTTTTTGAAACCGTCTTTTATAAATGTTTAATTCTTTAAATATATAAATATACACAACACACTGTTTCATGAATAGTTTGATCCACTTTTATAATGTGTATATTATATGTGTATCTTTAGAGCAGCATATTCTACTACACGTCTAATTTTCTTATCATGGATATCCTTCTACTCTACATGCATTTGACTTACTCAAAGTGAAATATAGATAACGTGGAAGGAGAAACATGTAGGAGAAATATAAAAACCATATAGGCATTTCTGTTCAACGGAGCAGACCATCTCTTAAGTAAGTACACTTAGAGATGTACTCACTTTTAAGGACACAAGAATTGTCCAGCCTTTCACTTCTTTTGTTTCCTCTGTTGGTTCAGATTCCTAAGATCACTCAATGACTCCTCTAGTATGAGCATTTGCAGCACAAAATTTAATATAGTAGTTAAAGAAAGTTTGTTGTGTAAAACACTTTGTATAAAAATCAACTGATTTACTCAGGGTCATGTCTCCAATGTGACCCCTTCCTGAGATATGTTTTAGAAAAATTTGGAATACAAACAAATTTAGCTCTATAAACTAGCTATAAAACCAAACTTCCTGCTAAGGGAATTTTATGTTATGTTTCTTCTTCTTTTTTATAGGTTTATTTATTTATTTTGAGAGACAGCTGACAAGCAGGGTAGGGACAGAGAGAGAAGAAACGAGAGAATCAAAAGCAGGCTCTGTGCTCTCAGCTCTCAGCACAGAGCCCAATGCAGGGCTCAAACTCAGGAGCCACAAGATCGTGACCTGAGCTGAAGGCAGATGCTTACCTGACTGAGCCACCCAGGTCTCCTATATGTCATATGTTTCTATAACTCTGTTATCTATTTCTACCTCATAATCTTAATCAGCAAACAGTATTCCATTTTATAGATATACAATGATGCAGTTGATGATTCTCTATGGGTGTACATTTACTAGGGGAGGGCTAATGTCCCTCATTTTTATTATTTTTCAGGAATATCTTACCTAGACTAAGTATCTCTTCTAGGTAAATTTTATTCTTAGTTCAAAAAATTAGCTCTGTTAGTATTCTGAAGGGAAACAAATTATAATCAATAAGTAATCATTTTTACTAGGGTTTATTGAGTTCCTCCTCATGCCAAGGGCTCTTGGCATCATTTAAATCTCATAACTCTGTCAGGGCGCCTGGGTCAGTTGGGTGACTGAATTCACTCAGGTCATGATCTCACAGATTGTGATTTTGAGCCCCACATCAGGCTCTGTGCTGACAGCTCAGAGCTTGGAGCCTGCTTCAGATTCTGTTTCCCTCTCTCTCTACCCCTTCGCCGCTCACATTCTTTCTGTCTCTCAAAAATAAACATTTAATTTTAAAAAAAATCTCATAGTTCTCTAAAGTAAACACTGCATTGGTATTATGAATATTATATAAAGAGATTCAGAACCATTAAGTAATATCGCCTAAGTTATATACCATGTAGGCATTAAGGCTAAGATCTGAAGCCAAACATTAGCCCCAAACCTTGCTCCCTATACTGGATTTTTATGGGACATACATTATATTTTCTTTGAATTTGGGAAGAATGTCTTTACAATGTTAAATCTCCCCACCTAGGAATGTGCTGTCTGTGTCTCTTCTAGTGCTCAAATAATAAAATCATAGTAACAATAACATAAAATCTGTCATTAGGTATTGTGATTTTCTACAATATGTACATACAGTTATTCACCATTTATATATTTTTCATACAGTATTACTTTCCATATCATTTCATGACTCTTTTCATCATTATATTTTGACTAATTTTTAGCATCAACAACAGGTTGGCTTCACAAATAAAGCACTCTAATTAAATGGGAAGTGAATTTAGCCTTTGTAAAAATAAAGCTACATTTCACTCTAGAAAATCCGAAGAAATAAAGATGTATTTAAAATGTTAGCAAACAAGATAGAGAAATGAGTATCATTTTAAAATATTGTTAAATATCCACATTTAAAGTGATCTGATTAAAAATTTTCCTCAAAGTGGGGGACAAGGAAAGTGTTCCAAACAACTCAAATCCTAATTAGAAACCTTCGCTGTCTGTTCTGGTAGCATGATGGCCATTAACTTCCCATTGCCATCAAATACCAGATGAATGGAAATAATCACACTGAGGGAAAAGAGGTAATAAAGAACTTTAAAAACATGACCACTAGGGGGCATATTCCACTTTCTTATCGGAGAGACTGCACTAAATTCTCTCATTTTCCATTTAAGATAGCCCTGGTTAACAGGTGAAGAATTTTGAAGTCGATTACAACTACAACAATAGCTAAAAAGTTTATTATTATTATTAGAAGAGCAATTCATGCTTTTTATAAACAACTTAATGTAATGTATATGATAAAGAGACAAAACCCAAGAATAATTTTTATTAATACTTGGCAAATTTTGTCAAAGTCACAATGAAATTATGTTCATATTGCATCTGTATTTTTGTAATATGGATATTTTTTAGTTTTCCTTCATACAATAATTTTATATCCTAAACAGTCCTATGGCATTACAATATTTGATTAAATTTCTATTTTGTCTTTCTTCTATTTAATCTTATATCTATAGTTATGTAGTGCTTAAACTTCCTTTTATTATTGGACATTTCGGCTGCCTCTGGTTTTCTAATACAAACCATGCTCTAAAAAGTGCACCAGTAGAAGCATAAGTGCAGCCTGACCTGCGTTCTTATCTCAGCTATGCCATTTCCTATTTGAAATTTATAGTTATTAGTAATTTTAAATCTCAGGTTTTCTTCCTTTTTCTCTGTCTCTCTGTCTCTCTCTCTCTCTGGTTTGTTCTTAAGATGGTAGATAATAAATGGGATCTACATGGCAACTGCTGTTAGAAGGAGTTAAAATCCATAGACAAAAATGAGCTCAGCATATAAACACATGCTGGCTGGTATTATAATGTATTAGTGTTACAATTTTTGTACATGAAACTGCATTTCAGATTACTTCTCTAAAACAAATTTCTGGAATGAGATTTGCTCATTCGAAAGTCAGTGATCCTTATTTCCATATTGCTTTCCAAAATAATCGATCAGTTTATAATCTTTAGAGTTACTATTATTTCTAAATGTTTATTTTTGAGAGAAAGAGACAGAGCACGAGTAGGGGAGGGGCACAGAGAGAGGGAGACACAGAATCTGAAGCAGGCTCCAGCTCTGAGCTGTCACCCCGATGTGAAAGTTGAACCCATGAACCATGAGATCATGACCTGAGCTGAAGTCAGATGCTCAACTGACTGAGCCACTCAGTGTCCCTAAAGTTATTTTTTTTAAGTTTATTTATTTTGAGAGAGAGAGAGTACAAGCAGGGGAGGGGCAGAGAGAGAGAGAGAGGGAGAGAGAGAATCTCAAGTAGGCTCTACTCAGTCCGTTCAAAGCCAGACTAGAGGCTTGAAAACACAAACTGTGAGATGACGATCTGAGCCCAAACCAAGAACTGGACACTTAACCACTGCTTAACCAACAGAGGCACCCCAAAGTTATGTTTCTTCATCAGTACAAAAACATAATAAGTTGTTCAGAGAATAGCATGGTTTGAGAGCCATTGGAATTCATGTTGTATTTCACGGTAAAAATGGCACACATGCATCAGCAAATACGATATTTACCTGACTCTGATTTCATCTTTTTCCAGAACTCGATGATCTGAGTTTCATAAGGTCTGTGTAAGCATTTTGTGTGTATATATACCTGTTCTATTTTAATAGGTATGGAAAACAATAGTCCTTGTAAATCTCAGGAAGTTCTGTCTCAAGAAAGGCAAAGAGTGACGAATGCAAACAACACTCCTAAAACATGGGCCCTGCTAATCCACTTGAAGAACTTCAAATAATACATCTTGTTTCTCTCTGCTTGGTATGTTAATGAGTAAAAATGTATGGTATTAACTTCTGTCTTATTTCCTTTGGCTTATATTGCCTATAATCTTTTCTAAAAGGTTTAAGGCTTCGACTAAGCAATATGTTTCATAATGACTATATTATTATTTTTTTTATTTTGTTTTTTTTTTTTTTACAAATAGTTTATTGTCAAATTAGTTTCTACATAACACTCAGTGCTCATCCCCAAAGTGCCCTCCTCCATGCCCATCCCCCCCTCCCCCCCACATCCATCAGTCCTCAGTTTTTGTCAGCATTCAAGAGTCTCTCATGGTTTGCCTCTCTCCCTTTCCCCCACCATTTCCGCCCTTCTTCTCCCCCTTGGTCCTCCGTCAAGTTCCTCCTAATCCTCCTATACGTGCAAACATATGGTATTTGTCCTTCTCTGCCTGACTTATTTCGCTCAGCATAACACCCTCAAGGTCCATCCATGTTGCTACACATGGCCAGATTTCATGTAATATATTATTATTTTGAAGCTTACCTTGATTATAACTAACTAGAGGCATTAAAATAAGTTCTACCTACTTACTTTTGCAGCAATGAAGTCAATTAATGAATGTACTAAAAGTGTTTTATTCATTCAGTTTGGAGACAAGTCTGAATTTTTTTGCTCTTTTGACTAATCACATCTAATTAGAAGACACATTGAAATATAAAGACAGTTTACATTTCCCTTTCCCTGTTTGAGGGGCAGCCAACTATGTATTTGGAAAGAGCAAATCAAAGAACCATTTTCTTTTAGGTGCAAATATACTTAATAGTCTATTTCTTGGTGCATCCATATGTCCAGAAAGCAGAAAGCCTTGGAAGTTGAATGTATTCAGGCACTTAGAAAACTAAAGGTAAACTAGTAAATAAAAACAAATAAACTAGATGAAGTTAATCTCACCTTTGGGTTTTGGGTTTACAATAATCCTAAAATAGATGAGCCTTTGACTGCCTTACTTATATAAAACTCTTAAGAGTTTTGATTACATTGAAAAGAAAAATGTAGTTTCCTTACAATGATTTTCCTTATCCTTTTTTCTCCCTAGGGTTTTCTGGATTTTAGAAAAGAATGTCAGCTATCCTAATGTAAGAGCTGCTCAGGAAAGGATCAGATAAAAGGTCTGAAATAAAAATAACTATTGAAAAGTAAGTTGCTGGACACTTACCTTGGTTCCCTGTTTCAACTTTGAGATAGGCACTGACATCATTGGTACAAGAAAGTAGACCCTTATCTAGTCAATTTAGAGTTCGTATTGAATTTGATAACATGTTTCCAATCTTATTTATTTGATTTTATGAAGTCCTAGGAAAAATATTCTAAGTGGAAAGTAGAGCATGGGAATCAGGACAGTCTTATGAAAAACTAGATCAAAAAACTATTCACAGGTCCCCATATCTCTGCTTGCTATTAGTTTGGGGGTGGGGGGGAGGGGGAGAGAAAGAGAGAGAGAGAGAGGGGTAATAGAATCAAAGACATTTCCATGGCATTAGCAACAAGTTGCTCATTTTTAAAATCCCTTCCACCAAGCCAAGAAGTTAGAGCAAATACTGTGACTCACCAGGCAGTGACTCAGCAGTGAACTTATGAAGAGAAATTTAATGTAATTTGGAACATTAAAGAATCAAAATAAATGTTTTGCACTAATTTATCTGATAGGATATATTTAATTTAAATAAAAGTGGGCTACCATATTCCTAGTAAATCACAAAGCAAGGGATTTCCCAGTGTCTTAGATCTCATCTGCTGCCTTTCATTTATAGCTGAAGAAAGTGTCTTATGAAAACTATTCAGTAAGTCAGGGGTTTTCTGTCCCTTTAACAACATCAGAGCACCACCTTAGGGATGAACCCAAGTGAAGGTAAAAGGCTTCCTCTCAGGATTTCCCCATAATTTCTCATGTTCTAAAAGTAAGATTTTTTTTTTCTTTCTAAGAGATGTTCTTTTACTAGTATACAGAGGTTACCATAAGGTCTTGGAAATGAATCACCTAAATGTAAGAAGTTACTTGTTTAAACCGAAGTTACTAACCTAGCTCCACAGCAGCCGTATGGTAACCCCAGACTCGAGCTCTTTATGCATAAGTACCACAGTTGTTTCATTTATTTACTCTCAGTACTAGGGGTACTCAATAAATATTTCTTAAATGAATGCATAAATGTTCACAAATATAAAACACACAGAGCCTCCCCAATTGAGTAACCACATTTGTCTCTTAATTCGTGACCACATGCCCTTATTAAATTATGTCTATCGAGTTTGCATGCTTCTATAGTTTTCTATCTTCATAATTGCTGTGTCAATGCTCTCCCTTCGAAATTGGACTTGGAAAAATACTCTTTTAAACATTTTTATAAATGTTTGACTTTTTACTGTCCTCGGTAGCACTTATAGAAAATATACATTTTCAAAATAATTCATTTATTTTATCTTCTTTTTATTTTCTTAATTAGAATGCTGCGTTAAAACTCCTCATACACAACCTCCCCCAACACACACACACACATACACACACACTTTTTCTTATGAAGAAATATACTCATTATGTGGGGAAATTTTTTAAGAATCAGCCAACCCTGAATTCCAGGAAACAGAAACCAAGAGTCTGAATATTTGCATACACATTGACCTAAGGTTTTCTAATCAAAGTGAACTCCCTTAGGATACCTCCAGGCATCCAGAGCGGGTTCATGGGTCTAATACTAGCTGAAGGGAGAAGCAGTGATGAGAAGAGCAAAAACGGTTTTCTGAAGAGGAAATGAAAGAAGGATTGTAAATCCCATGTTGAAGGTATCTGGGGAAGAGCCAAGATTCATATACATACAATTCTTACCTTTGGAGTTTTATGGGATCATAAAACAAACTAAATAGGTTTAGGGTATATTGTAATATGTAGCAAAGCTCATGATTACAGGGATGGAATTGGGTAAGAGTTGGAACATAAATACTAAGCTACACTTACTTTACATCAAAGAGTATAGAATATTATGTATGCAGCCATAGTAGTAATTAAAACTTAAATAATTTTCAGTCTTTTATTTTATAGTGGAGAAAAATTAAATATAAAGTAGAAAGTTTTCAGTTGCCAAAAGAATTCTAAGTCCCTTCAGAATGATGAGGCAGAATAAAAATTATAGCAGAGTTTAAGCACAGAATTAAAAAATATATATATTAAAACCATTTTAATTCAACCTGTAAACATTATCTGAGGCATCCTGATCCAGATATGAATTTCAGAGATGCAGAAACATTTTTCATATCTACAGAAAACCATCATGTCTACATTTTATATCATATCAGTCATGGCTGTATGTCACTTAAGTTTTATGTTAAAAAAAAAAAAAAACTTCCTACTTGTTGATGTCAGAGGCATTTATTTTCTGTACAGAGGCCAGATCTGCTTTTTTTCTTTTAATTTTTAAACGTTTTTTAATTTGTTTCTGAGAGAGAGAGAGAGCGAGCGAGCATGAGCAGGGGAGGGTCAGAGAGAGAGGGGGACACAGAATCTGAAACAGGCTCCAGGCTCTGAGCTGTCAGCACAGAGACTGATGCGGGGCTCGAACCCACAAACTGTGAGATCATGACCTGAGCCAAAGTCGGACGCTTAACCAACTGAGCCACCCAGGCGTCCCAGATCTGCTTTTTTTTTTTAAATTGGAACAACCTTGAATTTCACTTAATTCTCCCATCATTATTGTCACAAAATCACCATGAAGTCTTCATAATGTACGTCCACACATTCCAAGATGAATTAGCCCCAGTAAGGGGGTATCTTTATTTAGGGATTTATACATTGTGAAGTGAGAAAAATACAAATACTTATCAGTGTCATTCTAAGAGACGTATTCCTCCATGTAATGTTGATTTCTTGTCTTGAAATTAACATCTTAAAATTTTATTTTGCATCCAGACAATGATTATTTTTAAATATATCACATAAATATCTTTTTCGTTGTTTTGTTTTGTTGTTTCTTTTCTTAAAGACTATTTTGGGGCACCTGGCTGGCTCAGTCAGTTAAGCATCTGACTCTGGATTTCGGCTTAGGTCGTGATGTCACAGTTTGTGAGTTCAAGCCCCACATCAGGCTCCATGTGGTAGTGTGGAGCCTGCCTGAGATTCTTTCTCTCCCTCTCTTTTCCCCTCGCCAGCTCTCTTTCTCTCTCACTTGAAGTAAACAATAAACAAAAAACTTTAATGACAATTTCATTTTTAAGAGCAGTTGTAGGTTCACAGCAAAATTGAGAGGGAATTATGGAGATTTTCTATATATCTCCTGCCCCAATGCATGCATAGCCTCCCCATTATCAACATCTCCTACCAGAATGATATATTTGTTACAACTGATGAATCGGTATGAACACATCATAATCACTGAAAGTCCAAAGTTTACCTTAGGGTTCACTCTGGATGTCGGTACATTCTATGAAGAAATGTATAATATATCTACTGTTATGGTATCATATGGAATACTTTTACTGACTTCAAAGTCCTCTAGGCACTGCCTATCGTTATCCTTTCCCTGGCTCAACCCCACCTCCTGGCAGCTACTAATATTTTTAATGTCTCCATTTTTCCAGAACGTCATATAGCTGGAATCATACAGCAGGTAGCCTTTGCAGATTGGCTTCTTTCACTTAGTAATATTTCACTTAGAATTATTAAATTTCCCCCATATCTTTCCATGGCTTGATAGCTCATTTATATTTAGCACTGAATAATATTCGATTGTCTGGATGTATAGTTTATTTATATAGTTTATTTACCCATTCATCTGCTTGGCTGCTCCCACGTTTGGCCATTGACAAATAAAGCTATTATGAATATTTGTGTACAGATTGTTTAGTTGTTGTTTTATAGCAAGATTTGTACTTGTCCTTAAGAGAATAATAAATAAAAAAGAAGATATCAATGTGTATTAATAATAAATTCAATCAATTCTAAAGTATAACAGGTAAAATATGAGAGTCCTTCTACCCTCCAGCTGTTGCCCATCCTTACTTCTGCAGCAATAGTTAAAGTTACCTACTCTTAATATTTGCATTATATACAGGACAAACGTAAGATATTTTTGTGTGCCAGGGCAATTCAAGAACAAATGAGAAAGATACTGAAACCTTAAGAATTTTTTTCAGCATGGAAAATAAATGATTTAAATTGTCTGAAGTAAAGATTAATAATAGATAAGGTGCCCTGGAATGTTATATAGATAGATCTAGTTTGCTTAGCTATAATCTAGTTTATACAGATATATCTTGGACAAATGTATGACTTGTCAAGATACAATATCTGGACATATAGAGTTTAACTATTCTAGCTTTTCTAGATATGTTCTAGAAAATACTCAATGAGAAAAAACCCTAGAAATATTTCATACATTTTCCTTAACAAAACAAAATGATGTCAACTTTAGTTTTTTAAAGAACTAAATTGCAAATTTAAAATACTACACACTAACAATTTTTAAATAGTTTCATTCTTCCTATTCTTTATATAACAAAAAGTGTTTCATAACCCAAGACAACACTCCTAGGAAATAAAGGGCCACGACAAAACGTTTTGTGTAACGTTGTAATCCTCTTCATAATTTAATAAAATTGACAGCTAAAGCTCACTTTTAAAGTTAGACTTTAAAACACTTAATTTTGAGTTATTTTTTTTTTAATTTTGAGTTATACTTTAAAAGAATAAGAGGAGGGGCGCCTGGGTGGCTTAGTCGGTTGAGCGTCCGACTTTCGCTTAGGTCATGATCTCGCGGTTCGTGGGTTCGAGCCCCGCGTCGGGCTCTGTGCTGACTGCCAGCTCAGAGCCTGGAGCCTGTTTCAGTCTGTGACTCCCTCTCTCTCTGACCCTCCCCTGCTCACGCTGTGTCTCTCTCTCCTAGAAATAAATAAAAATATTTAAAAAAAGAATAAGAGGCAAAAAGTCTTGTAAGTTTTTGATATTCAATAATTTAACAGGCTCACAATTTTCCTTTTCTTAGAACTTATTTATTTTTCTTTGACTGCAACAGTCCCTCCCTGACTTATCAGTTCATGGGTTCTTAACTCCAACAACTTTCCAGGCCTGAGGAGAATTCTTAGTTCTTTTTCTACAGTTCACCTCATGATTTTCT